ACTCCAAAGAACTCTCCTAATCTGAAGTTTTTTATGGCCATAGACCATAGCCACATTCCAAAGACCCTTACTAAGAGTAATCAAAGTACCAAAAACAAATTGAGGGGAATGATCAGTCACAGTGAAGGTTGCCAAATTGCTTTTCCACATCACCAAAATTCCACCAGCAGTACCAGCCGCAGGCTGATGAAAAAAATCCCAGTCTTTGCCAATAATTCTATTGACATCCATCTTATTGATCGAAGCCAACTTGGTTTCAGCAAGGCCAACGAAAAAAACGGAATTATCTTTCAGAACTTCCTTAAGATAGAGGGAGATCTCCTTCTTCTTGACCCCTCTACAATTCCAGAAGATGAGAGAAGACATTAATTAACTGAAGGGGAGCAGTCCCCGCCTTTTTTCTTGCATTTTCCTTCAACTTTCCTTTTTCTGGACACCGATTCAATTGGTCCCAAAAATTTTAATTGAGGCTTTGGTTTAGTGTTGGCAATATTGAATTCAGAAGTATCAACCTTGGGTATCTCAGCATGCCCACTAGTATTATCCGAAGGTAAATCAGAAAAAACAAGTTGATTGTCACCAGAACAAGCTTGTTTGTCACACGAATTGCCACCAGAACGAGCAGAAGAATCATTATAAAAGGCATCAATAATGATTCCAATTGGTTTTTCATTGAGCAATGAATGATCAGGAGGATCCGAAGTAACTGTGTCAGCAACAGGAGGTTTAGAAGTAACATAAGAACCTTCTATCTCAATTGGACAATTCTCAATATTTACTCCCTCAAATTTATCAGTACAAACCGCTGGGGAGGGTAAAACATTTCAGGTTCCGTGATGATCTCAACAGAATTGCCATCAACAGACTGATTAGTCGCTTCATTAAGAATCTCAAAGCTGTTTGACAGTTTTAATTCTGCTTGTGGAAAAGACTTCAGATGCTGATTGCTATTTAAAGCTTTGTCCTCAATCAAAATAACATCATTCGATTCCTTAACTGGATTATCAGTAAATTTATTACTGACAGTGGCGTGAGCTTCAGGTTCTTTGGTTGTTTCTTCCAGGGATCCAAGTGACTTCTAGATTGCTTTGGCATCTTTTTGAATTTTGCATGTAACCAAGGTCCGTAATTATCTTGATGTTCAGGTTGTAAGACATCATGTGTGACATTGTCGCTCAATTTTGTACTAGGATCATTAGGCTTGGTCAACCGAAGATCAGGCAAGCCGGTTTTAGGTGCCAATTTTAGCACAATTGAAGCAGAATGAAGATAATTTATCATACTCAACTTTCTAGAAGAATCTTCCTCCCAAGCCATCAACCCAAACACCCGAGGGAAGCTTGGATTCCAGATTTATACGGACACAAATATGCCAAAATTCCTTCTTGCTCCAGCTGAAAGAATTGCCGTCAAAATACATGGGAGTTCCAATTCTTGAAGCGATCATAGCAAGGTTTACCTCGTCCCAATAATACAAGGGCAGCTGAGGGAAACAAATCCAAACCGGTGCAGTTAAACCTTTTAATGATAAAGGAGAAAAGGAAGGTGACCATTTGTCCAACCCAACAATATGACCAGCAATGTACCAAGGCCCCCCACCGAGGACTTCCTCCATGACTGCAGATGACTTAAATGAGCAAAGAATCCAATTCAATTCCAGTGAAGTTAGATGAATACTATCGAATCTGTTCCACTGTTTACGTAGCTGAATACTGCAAATCGAAAAGGGGATGTTCTTTCCCAAAACTTTTAGCACAACCGAATTGGAGAGGATTTGAGAGTTAATGATTTCTTGATCAGTGTTCAGTTTAACTGCTACCCCATCAGAAGACATTACGGTGGAATTTGCATCAAAATTGATCTTAATATGATGAGGTTTTTTCCAGGCATTTAAAAAAAAATCTTTCGGGTTGCCATTATCAACAGCATCTTTATCTCCCAATAAAACAGTATTATCAAGATCAACAGATAAACTGTCAGGATTCAAAGGTTTGGCCGAAAGATCTCGGATAATATTTTCGTCAGTAGTGCCAGATATCTTGCAATCTTTAGTAATCAAGTTCGAAGAATTAAAGGAATCATGTTCCAAAGATCCAAAGGTTAACCCAAGAGAAACAGGGCTAGCCTCAGGGAGATTACGATCCATGCTACCGAATGCAGAAGCCAATGGATCAGCCAGACCTTTACCCTTTCCTTCAGAAGAAGGAATCGGTTTAACATGGTGAGCAATAGAGCCAGAGATTTCTCTTATAATCAAAGGTTTAAACCCTGATCTTGAAGACGATTGATCATCTGAACGGGGAACGAGAGAACTCACGGGAAAAGGAGATCTTAGTCGATCAGAAGAATTCCGAAGGACAGCTCGAGGAAGGAGATCTGGAGGGTCCGACGGCGGACAGCCGAAAGCCGCCATGGCCGGAGGCAAGAAGCCCGCGAAACCGAAGATTCAAACTTTCTCTCTCTAGAAACCAAAGAGGGAGCTTCTCTCTCTAAAAAAAACCCCTCGAGTCACCATCACTACTTTTAATTTTGTTCGAACTAAAAAGCAAAAGAATTTAAGAGAAAGATTAAACATGTAACTTTCATGTCAAAATCAGATTCACAGGTAAACCCAAACCCAACCCGTTTAACATATAGCTCGGAATTTCGGACCCAAATTAAATGGATCAACCCGAACCCAACAATCCAAATTTTTTGACCAGGTTCAAGCCAAGTTTATGGGTCAAGCCATTTTTTGACACCCCTAGTCAATTGTCACCCTTAGAGATAATTTATAGATTGCTTGCCATAAAATCCATTGAGATTCCACTCACAAGCGTCCTTAAAGAGTTCATTAAAAAATATTCCTTAGGAACAGTGGTTAATCAAGAAATTTTTTCTAATAGAGGCATAAATTAAATATTTTGTCAACCTTTTTCATTTATGCCTGAGACTAATATTGGCAGCTTTAAATTTTTTTTAATTTGTTATTTTAAAAAGATAAAATATATAAGAATAAAAAACTTATAATTTACTACGCTTATTTTAAAAAGTTGAATGATTACTTTATTATCAACATAATTAAATATTTTTTCTCAATATAAATAATTAAAATATTATTCATCCATTAATCTCTAATCCTATTTCATAGTCAATTTTTTATAATATTCATAGCAGAAAAAGCTCTTTCAATTTATATTGCATGCACTGATATTAAAATAAATCTTTAAATTTCAATTTATCATGATAAAATTTTAAATATGATATAAAAAAATAATTTATTTCAACATAAAAATTAGAGTTATAAGGGCATAAATAAAAAATTAAGAAAGAATAATTATAATTCTATAATTCTATAATAATAATAATAATAATAATAATAAAGAATTATAAATTTATTTTTGTTGAGAGTCGGGGGTGAGGGGCCCCCTTAATTCTGTCCATGCTTAGGAAAGATAAAGAGGAATCTAGTTCTAATGTTTAGGTTTATTTTACAACAAGAAGAGTAGAATGAAATCTTTTAATTGGAAAGAAGCTTCTTTAATTACACACTACACATACTTTAATCAACCTACTCCAATGGTCCTCCTAGGTAGAGAAAGAGAGTGAGGATAGAGTAGGATGACTACTAGGCTGGCACCATAGATGGAGAAAGTCGTGGCCAAAGTTTGAGAGGAGAATTTTGGATGACGGATGTGTTTTCAATTAATTAATAAAATTAAACTCAACTTATATGAGTTCTTATCTATAATACTATGAGAGAGTAACAAATTCTAACTACAGTTCAAATTATAAAGAATTAGCAACGTATCTAGTCAAATTAGAATAATTATTATCCTTAAGATAACAACCTAAATCACTTATAAAAAGGGATAGAGATGAACAACCCCCTCTTTATCTAAGAAGAGGTTGCCAACTTAATGAGAATAGGTTGGTTTCATGATAATGTGGCATTCCACGGTGGTGTGGCAATTCAACATAATTTTAAACTTACTGTATCCTTAGGATAGTAGGCTGGTTTCTTGATGATGTCGTGCTCCACAATGATATGGCATTTCATGTTCCCTTCATTCATCTAGTCCCATGCGAGTTCAAGCTACCTAAATAACCTAAAAAATTGAGCAGTTAAGCTGTATTAGCTTCACCCTACACTATGGTTGGTTCAAAGTTAGTTCATTCTGGTGCATGAAACTAAATCAGTTGGTCATCAGGGTTGACTTATTCATACTTTTTGAAAAACCTCAAGGATCAATTATGATCTTATGCACTAGTGATTATGATCATCTGACTGTAGTGTGAATCTTGAAGAAATGCTCCAGCGGAGCATTGGGAGGAAAACGAGTTAAAATGGTGGAAGAAACAGGTGTAACCAACTCATTCGACAATAATGGACCAAGAACAACACAAACTTCATTCAAAACAGTATTCATGAATGAATAGGAAGCCAATCAGAACAAACTCCTTCAAGATTTTGGCAATGCAACATTTTTCTAGTGAAGTATGGTGATTAAGCTAACAAGCAAACAAAGAAAATAAACTAAAGTTCTAAAACTTCAAAGCAAACTGGCATAACTTGAACAATTAACTTGGACTCCTCATATATTTTGAAATTTCATTAATCTCAACTAATCTAAGTAGTCAGAAACTCCGTTTTATTAAGCATGGTATTTAGAGTACATGTATAGGGAATGAAGCCATTAAATTTGCATATATCAGGGATACATAAGAGACTTATGAGGTTCTAACTCAAATTAAAATCCTATAAGGGCTGTAACAGATTACACAATGAGAACTTTTTGTTTTAAGAGATAATTACTTCCCTAAATCTGCATCTATGAACATGTTTATTTAGTATCCACTGAAGCTTGAGTTTGTGCTTGATGGAAACCAAAATTTCAAGAAAACATTCACGGCCAACAATAGCATAAAATGTTAAATTATAGAGACAAAAGTAAACTTGGAAATATATGATACATTTGCACATTGATAAATTAAATTCCTATGTAGGGTAAAAAACTAACTTGTAGAGGGTCAATCCCCTCACTCTTCCTGTCAACATCATTCAGTCTAACTGTTGGATCCTTTAGGCCAATATTTTCTGCATCATCTATATTTTCTCGTGATGACAAAAGCACATGAACTGCCTGCATGATATGAAATATGTCAAGGAATATTTTTAAAAACAAAAATAAAACTTCCACCCGAAATTAAACTTGGGAATGTGTTTCCATGAGGCAAGCTCACATCAAAAAAATATAATTAAAAATAAGTATTGTTCGAAACAAAAGCAATTCAAAAGATGACTTGCACCATTAACCTTTTTGTAAGATATATTGATTAATCTATTATTGTTAAAAGTGATAAAGAAGCATAGAGGACGTTAAATGAATGTGATGCCATGTTGATCTAAGAAGTCACCAAGCTTTCTAAGGGCCATACTTGTTAGATGCGTTTGTCAAAAACAATAAGTGTTACCAGCTAAGTCAGCTGGTATACCGTATTTAGCAGCCGTAATGCCTATCCGGGACATCCAATTGCAACCTATCAATTGGTTCAACTTTTTAATTGAAGGAAAAACGTTATAACCAGTACATTATTTGAGTACAAATAGCAATTATAAAGAATTATTTGCGTAATAGCTAAACAAATACTGATACCTGAGACGAGTGTGCAAAATACTAGAAAAGGAAAAATAAAAACATTCGTTAACAACGCCTTACATAAAGCATGGTGAATCTAGGCAAGTGACAATACATTTTTCTTATTGCTGTGTTGCCTAACAAATATGATTTGGAACCTCATATTCACCAAAGCATCAATGCTCTACATACTCTTATCATAATCAGAAGATTATGTTGAAATAGAATAAAAGCTCAAAATAATCTCATGACCATAAATAAATGTCCAATTTAATCCCAGAGTTCTATATTGCCCAATTTTAGTCACTCAACTATTGAAAATTGAGTCAATTTGGTCCAAGAGCCTAAGCAGTTAAACTCCAAAAATTAAATAGGAGGGGTATTTTAGGTTTTATAAGTGGATGTTGAGAAAATATTGCTTACTTGGCTCTATTTTTATCATTACTAGAAGAATTCAGTTAATGGGGATAGCTCTAAATCACTATACCAACTCCACTTAAATAAGATGTAACCTCCATAAAGCTTCCCTAACGAGGCTTGTATTGACATCAAATATCAATTAAAATAGATCTCAAACTTCAACCCAATTAACCATCCAGATACTCATCCTTAGAGTTGCCTAAATGCCAATATTACAAGCCCCTAATGCCTCCAACTTTGCTCCACAAGAGTAGGCTCCCTCTAAATATTTATGCCCTAGAAAAAAAGGAACAAAAGCTCAAATTATCTAAAGAATGCCCTCAAATATTAAAAAAAAAAAAAATCATTTTGTGCTTAATGAAAACTCCATTTCTGCCATATCCTAAATAAGAACACTAATTCATAATTTACTTAAGCTAACAAAGAAGTCAATACCATGTCAACTATTAAATAAGCTTAGCTTAAATGTTCAATGCTAGCAATAATATTATGACAAAAGTCTATATGTGATGCATGCTTTTCAAATAGGTGGTTAACTTGATCATGATGATGCCAATATATTAAGAGATTCAATGCAGAACAGACACAAACAATTGAAGCCAAGAGAAACAACAAACCTAGCTCCGTTCGTGGCCTTTCTTGCTCGTGTCGAAGCATGCCACAACATGTCTTGCCCGGCCTGTTGCTCGTATCACCTTCCTTGCATGTATCGTCTCCCTCGCTCGCGTTATCCTGGGTCGTTCATTTCTATGCAAAAAGGTCTCCAAGCGTCTAAAAGAATGTGCGCACGGCATATAGCAAGAAGCAGGGCAAATAGCAGGAAGCAGGGATTATAGCGGGAAGCATCGAGCAGTTATTTTACTTAAATGCCTCCAAGAAACTAACCTCTATGGCTCCCTCCGTTAATTTAAACGGCGAGGGACTAAATTGGCTCAATTTATATAGTCAACAACAACAACAACAACATCAAGCCTTTATCCCACTACGTGGGGTCGGCTACATGAATCCTTTTTCTCCATTGTGTCCTATTAAAAGTCAAATTCTCGTTTAAATCTAATAAAGAAAGGTCATTCCTAATATTTTCTAACCAAGTCTTTTTAGGTCTACCCCTACCTTTCTTAACATAAGTCAAATCTAATACCTCTACTCTCCTAACCGGGTCATCGGAAGGCCGCCGTTTTATGTGACCAAACCATCTAAGGCGACTCTCTCTAATCTTATCTTCTACTGGAGCTACTCCAACCTTTTCACGTATATGCTCATTTCGTATCCTATCTCTAAGGGTAAAGCCACTCATCCACCTGAGCATCCTCATCTCTGCCACACTTAACTTAGTATTATGCTTCTCTTTTAATGGCCAACATTCGGCACCATAAAGCATTACAGGCCTCACTACCATCTTATAGAATTTTCCCTTAAGTTTGAGGGGTACATTTCTATCACATAACAAGCCCGATGCATTCCTCCACTTCAACCACCCAACTTGAATTCTACTGATAATATCCCCATCTATTTCACCATCATTCTGAACAATAGATCCAAGATATCTAAAATGTGTACTCTTATTAATGACTTGATCGCCCAAAGTCACAATCCCCTCACTAGGTCTATTACTACTAAAATTACACTCCATATATTCTGATTTAGATCTACTCAAGCGAAAACCTTTAGACTCTAAGGTTGACCTCCATAATTCAAGTTTACCTTCAACTCCCTCCATAAACCTTTAGGCTCAATTTATATGGTCGAGGGACTAAAATAGGACAATGCAAAACTATGTAAAAAAGGACTAAATTAGACAATCATTGATAGTCGGGGGACTATTATGAACTTTTATTCCTTTGAAATATGATCATTGACTTCGTCGGTACTATTAGAAAAATCAAGATCATGCTCGTGGTTGCAACTGTTGACTTGATCATTCCCTAAGACTAATGGGAGCAAGCTTACAAGATTCTGAAACAATTGAAACTTCCGAAGTTGGCACCAAATTATGAGTACAAACATGATTTGAGAAACAACAACAACTACATGTTTGAGTAACTAGTGTGCTCTCCATGCGCACTGTTTCTTTCTTTTTTTTTTTGGAGAACCAAATCTTAGTGATGGAACAAGAACCTTCTAGAAAAAAAAAAAACAAGATAACCTTCACTTAACTCCAACTCAAAAGAGTGAGGAAAAGTAAGAAAATCTAAGAGAAATAGAAACATCCAATTCAATCAGAAGTCTGCTATAGATGGGTGAGCGAGACGAGCCATTGCAACATCCATTTGCAAAGAATATCCAAAAAAAGAGTGGAGTGAGAATAAGGTGGATTGATAAAATAATGAAGGTAAAAATGAGAATGCAATCCAAACAAGAGTGATAGGTGGTTTCTTGGAAGAATAAATGTGAGGTTTTATTTTAGCATTTGCATCTGGTACCAAATAGCATAGTAAGATTGTCACTAAAAAAGTATGATTTATTATGGTTCAATTGATAGTCTTAAAATGACATGAAGATGGTCAATTACACCATCAAAGAAGTTTCCAACAAAATATTGACATGAATTTCTGAATGATCTCTAAATTGGGGCAACTCAAAGAAAATTTGCCCATACTGGAAAGAATGAGTAGATTGCAAGCTTTTCAAACTCATCTTTAATGAAAATAGTCCAAATTTGACTTATAAAGTAGAAGGTTGCTTATGTTAAGATGGAGCTGAGGCTTGACGAAAGAATAATGGGAAATAGTTGGATAAGGGCCACAAAATACTCGAATCCTTGAACCCCACAAAACTTGAATAAAGGATTAAGGAGTGCAAGCAGCAAGAAGAATAGAACCCAGCGTTTTGGATATTGTAGAAACCTCAAAAAATAGAGGGGCCATCGAACAAGGTGATAGCAATGTAGGTGGCCAAATGCTTGGGTTCCCAATGCAAGAGAAGTATGAATCGGAAGTGGAGACAAAAAGATGAACACCTATTGGAAAAATAGGTTGGGAATATAGAACCTAACACTAATGATTTTGAATGGGATGCAAGTGGTATCAAAGAGGCAAGAAATAATTTTTATGTGAGAAAGTCAACCTAGACACCGAGACGGACTATCAAAGAGGGTCATGAGCACAATGGAAATGGGCGCATGCAGTAGGAGGCATCTGCGCCAAGGAATAGGAGAGCAATATAAGAGCGCACACTAGGGATTGAAACTATTACAGCTAGGGGCTCCAAGCAACCAAGCGAGAAAGGCAACATTGGACAAGAATAAGATGCAGGAAAAGCGAGCGCGATGAACCTAGTGATAAAATCTAAGATATAAGTTGCATTAGGAGAATGGAGTCTATGATAAATTAATAAATAAAATCAGAGCTTTCACCATTTATGGTACTAAATAACATTTATATCCTACACAGCATTATGAAAAATCATTAGAATGTAAATTCGGGAGTGGTGGAAGTATCCGCATACGAACTGTTTGGATCTGGACTGGATTAAGCAATTTCAGAAAGTTTTGTTCACCCATACTTATAGGCGTTTCAACAGGGCGGCCCATTTTTGTGCACAAAGGGCCACCCAAAGTTCTTTTGTTTGGGAGGGTGGGGATAGTCAAAATGTGTATATTCCTCAAGGTTTTTTTGACATCCTTGAGGAGGATAGGGGGTTTTCCTTGATAGATAGGCCGATCAGCCAATAGTTTTTCCTTCTTACTTTCTTTACTTGTAAGTCACTTTTTTTGTTGAATGCAAATGCAAAGTTCAGCTCCAGACCATGGGTAAGAGCTAAGCGCACTTTTCGCAATGATATTTATTAATTAAACAGCATTAATGTTAATAGAACCAATTGATACAGCTTTCAATCACGTAGAATCACCCACTATATTATCAAATGCTTCCTCATACAATATACATCAGGACTATAATATAAGATATTTAAGGCTGCTAAAATGAAGGGAAGCATACTAATCTTAAGAGATAAAACTCACCTCATCAGGTTTTTTAGCTGCAAGTAATGCATTTGTAAGCCCGCGAAGAACATCAAAGTTCAAGTTCTTAGAGGTCTGTGAAGGATTTTTAAAATAAAAAAATTACAAAATAGAAAAGAAATCAATAACAAGCATGCTGATAATAGAAGTTCATGGAAACATTTAAGAATATAAATATAAAAAAGGAGTTTCATTTCTATTATTTATTTATATAAATAACCTTAAATGACTGGAAACTTTTTTCAGCAACTGCTGATTATTTTGTCGTTATTTGTAACAAAATCCATAAAGTCCTAAAAGTGAAACTATCAATGATAATACTGCATTAAGGAAATTTTGCACAAGCATCCAATGCACCATACTAACTGATAAGAAACTTCTATAAGCTGCAGCACTCCCCTCATAATCTTTCAGCTCATATTTGACTTCACCAAGTAAGCGATATGCATCAACGTTTTCAGGCCTTTCCTGACATAAAACTCATGTATTCAAAATTGGAATAAAATGTAACAGTTAACTCAGACTATATCATGATCAACTTCAAATATAAAGGCATAAAAATGAAGAGAATGTACAGGCAAACCTTGATTAGCATTTCAAGAAGAGATGAAGCACGCTGATATTCTCCTAATTCTACCAAAGTAACTGCTGCTCCCTACAGGACTATTAAAAAAATTGAAGTAAAAGAATGCAATGAAAAATGCTGGCATTTTTCTCCTGTTATCTTAAGAAACCAAGTACATGCTGGTTATGTTCATCATAAAAATGAAGATGGAAGGTCCAGTATTAGCCCAGTCTGACATAACATTAAAAAACATAAGAATAATACCATAAAATTAACACAAGTTAGGTAGACAGAATACAATGGGATTATCTTATGTAGAATATATGAAGCCCTATGAAGCTTCCATGAGTTAGGAAAGATTAATCAAAACAAGCAAATCAATACGTATCCAGAACTAAACTATCTGGTTAAAAATTAAATGAAAAAATCAAAGAAGCTTAGAAAAAGAACTGATCAGGGTCATTTTTTGGTTTGTTTCTAGTTATATTTACAAACATTCATACTAAGCTGAATCACAAACTATAATGTAAGATTAAATGAAATAGATAATGATACGTTAGAAGAGAATTTTAATTCGTTATCACATTAATGACAATGCAAAAATTTTTATATGGATTCGAATATATATTCTTTTTATCAAATGCTAGCAGTATTTGTTTGTCAATTGTAACTTAAAAATATTTAATAGACTCCTTAAATAACAAAAAAACCAATTTAGGTGCAGAAAAATATCTGGATAGCGACCTAAATAAACAGGTAAGAATTTCTAGCATAAACATAACCTTGGTAGTGACTCAAAAATGATTTGGAAGACAACTTCTTTAGAGAATACTGTGCCTCTCTTTTCTTTCTAGCCTCTCTAATTAATTTCTCTATTTTCTCTTGTCGTTGATGCGCACTTTAAGACAAATGGAAGATTCCTCCTACTCATCATGCATTATCACAAAATGGAAACAAAATTTTGACCTTTTGATGGTTATAAAAATAAAATGGGTATGTGAGACCCAAAACATTACTGTAAGGAACACTGACAATTAATTAAAAGTACAGGTAAAACATTGAATTAGTTGAATGTGGTCATAAAAAATTTGCATGCCTCATCCTCTTCGCACCGTTTTATACAAGAAAGAGAGTTTTAACGGATAATATTCCAAGTAAAAATTTCAGATGGCAGATTATATTTGAGATAAGACACTACTAAAAGATTTCACCCTCATTCTATAAAGATTTTACGATTTGAGTCCATGTTTCCCAAAGGAGCGAACCCCTATGGTTAATTACCCTCCTGGGGACGAGAGAAAAATTTCGACTAAGGCTAGTTGTTAGGTAGACACCAAGTGCCTGAAGCATAGTAGCAATAATTTTAGAGCTTGGATTTTTACATCTAGAGTTATCATGGTCCCTAGTCTATTTAGTCGAATAAGGTAATCAACCCAACCTGACCGAAGGATCTAAATTCAAAGGTGACAAGCTTCAGATTTTCATGAAAAATATAAGAAAAAAAAACATTTGATAGATATAAAAAAGCAATTGATAATGAAATAAAATATTGTTTTACTATATAAAATAGTGATGTTTGATGAATAAATTTTTTTCTGCTCTATCGAATTAGGTGAATCTCCAAAAAGTTATAGAATTGAATCAAAAGAAGAATTACATGTGAAATGTTAAACTCTCACATAAAAACCAATTAAATTCATAATAACATACATACAAAAGAATTAAATCTTCATGATTTGTAAATTCAGAAAGTTATAGAATAAAATCAAAGGACATTAAAAATGTTAAATTGTCACATAAAAATATGTTAAATTCACAATAGCATACTTCTAAAAGAATTAAATATTTATGATTTGCAAATTGTATGTTTCACATTTCCTTTATCACACAAACTTACGAAGGTGAAAAAGCAAAGAGAAGAAAATTTACTTTTCTTGGAGTTCGAACATATGAGTGGAGAAGAGGCGAATAAATAAGGATTACAACTTAATTTTATGGGAAAATAACCTCATATAAGAGCATAAGGAGCAAATAAGAAAAGAATTTTTGATAAAAAAACTTCCTCATATAAGAAAGGATTATTACAAAAGAGGAGAAATTAAAACTATTTTTTAGCCATACCATCATCGATTTTTACCCAAATTATATTTTCAGCAAATATTTTTTGGAATTGATTATCCAGAAGATTGGTAAAGCCTGGCATTGGTGAAGGACAGAAGAATATTAAAAGTGAGAGAAGAAGTGTCATTTATAGATTAACTGAGAAGAAATAAATGCCTAGTTGAAAGTCATTTTGACACCATAACATTAATTGATTATAACATTTTTGCCCTTGAAGATTAAAAACAATAGAAATTCAATATTTTGCAAAACTGCAATGAAGATGATTAATTTTTTTGCCCAAAAAAGATATTAAAAAAAATAAAAAATTACATTTCAAAATTCATTAAATGCAACGAAAATTGTTTAAATACAATGCAATGAAAATCTTTGGGATTTCTCTTACTTAAATGCAATTGATAATATTTAATGGAAATAAATAAATAAATTAAATGTATTTGAATATAAACATAAATGCAATTAAAATCTTTGAAAGTTTCTAACAGCCAACTCTTACTTAAATGCAATTAAAGTAAGAGAAATTAAAAAAAACATAATGCATTTAAGTAGATAAGTTAAGTGTATTGTAATACAAAATTAATGCAATTAAAAAATTTGAGATTCTCTAAAAGTCAACTCTTAATTAAATCCAATTATTAAAAATACAATTAAAACAAATATAATGCAATTACATAAAAATGTATATATAAAATGAATGGCTGGGAGTTTCAAATTATATCTATTAAAACATATATAAATAGACAAATTAATATTATTTAAATTCAAATTAGCATAAATGTTAAAATCTTTGGGAGTTTCTAACAGCCAACTCTTACTTAAATGCAAAAAAGTTTAATATATATTTTTTTTACAAAAATTCTAATTTCTAAAAAATTACAGTTATTAAATATTTTAATTAAAAAAGACTTAATTACTCTTATATTTAACACCATCAACTCTACCATTAAATGGAAGTGCTAAAAAAGTCTCATTTGAAGGAGTTAAGGGAACAAACTGGTCTTTCAAAATAGTTGGAGACTATCTTAGTCCCTCACAAAGAATTGAGGGACAATTTTTGTCACGACCCGGCCCGGCTAGCCTGATAATAACGGGGCAGGAACAGTCCATAAATAACACCTACTTATATAAAAGAGCCACTAATAACATTAAACTCAATTAATCCAAACTGTTTCTTCTCACACAACTACTAAAATATCAAACCACAATGACATAAACTTCAATAACTGTTCATACATAGGTACATACTACTGAACTTAAACTTCAAACACAATAAAAATGTAAAACCCGAAAACAACGTTCATGGGTCGTCGAACGTTTTTCGACGCGTCGCAACGAGACTTAAATGAAATTTTCGAAGTTAACAAAATCCTAGGCAAAATTCTACGCAAAATTCTGATTGTTTTGATATATAGGACTTTTAATTAATTATGTGTTTATTGAAAATTATAAAATTCAGAAGTTTGGAAATACCAGTTTTACCCCTATGTGAATAAAAGCCCAAAAATTTTTAGGTGAGGGAAAAATGGACTTTTGGCAATCCCATTCTCTCTAATTAGGCCTAACCGAACACTCCTCCCTATCCCATTCACGCAAATCGACTGAAACCGAGCAGGACAGGCGGACGAGTGCGGCAAGGGCTTCAACGGGCTCCTCTCCGGCGGCTTTCTTCCGGTGAGAAAATTAGTCCAAATTGAAGAGGGCGACGAAAGGAGTCTTCAGATATGATTATTTTAAAACAAATCTTTCAAGATCTCAAGATTTATGGAAAAGAATTTTCTACGCTTTTATAGATTTTCCAAGTTTTCTTTAAGGAATAAATAAGGAATGTTTAGAGGAACATTTTAACGGTAAAATTGAAGAAATTAGAGGAATTTTTGGAGAAAGAAAAATTAAGGTTTTTTAAAGCGAAAATTTGGATTTTTTATGAAAATTTTGTTTTTATAATTTCCATAATTATTTTAATCCAAAAATTATAATTATAATTATAATTATATGTTAAGGTTTAATTTTGGAGCAATATTGTTTTGAAATTGAATATTTATAATTTTTCAAAAATTTAGATTTAATTAAATTCGAAAATTTAAGTTTATTTAATTAAAAATTTATTAAGTATCGTAAAGAATAGTTAAGGGGAAAACAACGGGTTTAGCATTAGACTTAGAATCAATCTTAAGCCTTAACGAAAATTGAATTATGTGACACGTCTCTTTTGTAAATTTTCTTATGTTGTGATCGGTAAAGTGTAAGGTGAAAGAACTTTATCGAAGCGACATACCGTGCTTAAGAGAGGTAGATGTTCATACCTCATTTAAATTTATAAGTGCTTAAATTTTTTTTTGCTTAAAATGAAATTTTATGCAATTATTTTACTGTTAAATGTTTTATATTAAATGATTGAAAGAATATCCTACAATTTCATGTTTCTATTTTACGCATTATTTGAAAAGCATTTAAAGCATATGAAGAACACTTAAGCATAAAAATTTATGAAACTTATGAAAGACAAATTGAGCATAATTGAAATTTATAAATTGAATAACAATTTCATGTGCATGTTGATCCAGAAGTGCCAAAATGGTAATGGTAAAATAGCTTACAAATGCCAAATGGTAATGGGATTCTACGGAGCCAAATGGTAAAGAAAATGGTCAAAAATTTGACTGTGTACCTAATTAGTACGAACATTGGTACTTTCGGGATGTGTGTATACATTTAACATGAGCATAATTGCATTTGAATTGCATATGAAAATGATAAAAGGAAAGAAAAAAAGGAAGAATGACAAAAAGCAAAAATGAAAGTAAGAATGGAAATTCAAATGCTATGATTTCCAAAATGATATGAAATGATTTCAATTATAAAAGTTTTTGTTATATACATCTTATGAAATTAATTGAGTTATGAATTACCTGCTGAGCGAATAAACTCATCCTACGTTTGAAATATTTTTTTCAGAAGATAAGTGATGG